TGTATCTAGAATACATCCTAAGGTTTTTGATATCTTGTCCAGAATGTAAATAGTTTTCTACAGGTCATGTACCATCTGCCAATGGAATTAGTGAATTTGAAAAATAGATTTAAAGCACATTGCACACCCTTGGAGATTCCGTGTCTGTCTTTTTCTAAGCTCAGTGGATAGTGAAACGTATGCACACATGCAGTACAAACTGGACAATATGTGTACTGTTTATGTAATGTTTCACACTAGAGAATCAAAGCTCTGCTCCTTGTACATTGTGCTACACTGGCTATGGATGTGAGATGGCAATTTTCAGAGGTGACAAGACTCCTATCCATCATGCGAGATGTCTGCACAGCCTCAAAACAACCTCCAACACTGCCTTAATGGCCTTTGGACTTAAATCTTATTGAGCGTCTGTAAGAAGTGCATGCCTAAAGGCGACATAGACTTGGCAGGTAATAAGAAAATATTGTATTTTGTCTGCATGGAAAGACAAAAATGTGTTACTAGCATGGGCAAGAAAAAATAATCTAGAACAGGCTATGCAGAATAATCACTTTTTGTGTTTTTATGTCTTCTTTTTATTAAGCTTGAACCCTGAATGTGGTACTGCACTGTATGAAAGCAATCCAGATACAAAGGTCTGCGACAATAAATCCTGCTGGATTTTTTCAAGAAACAAAAACACCATTCCTTGTTCACAAAACAGCTCTGAAAATGATGATCCCAAGCAGTAAAGTCTTCTCTTCTTCCAGAACAAATTCTGAAATATATTTTTCATTCATGTACACACCAGTGAGTTGGTTTATCCCCCCCTTACTCTCTCCAAAATGCTTTACCATCAACAGGGAATTTCTACACCCCCCTTCTGCGCTGATATCTATCCCATCATCAGTGGAAAATAACTATATGATGTCTGAACATCGTACTGTAGCACCCACCCCCTGTCCTAGGCTTGTGAAGATTGTAATGGCTATGCTTCTATTAGATTGGTGCACATTGGTGGTGGAGGAGGGGATCCCCATTACCTGTAAAGCGCTTTGTGTGGAGTGCAGAAAAGCACATACAGTATAAGTGTAAGCAGTTATTATTATTATTATTATTATCATTACTTCTATTAGATAGTAATTGTTTTATAGTTCTCATCTGTCTTATTCTTCCTGTTGTGTTCACATAAGAACAAAAGGATAAGAACAAAAATGAATCTTATATAGTATATTGCACATATGCATGGTTTTTGGAACTTTTTGCTCTTTTGCTAGAATATGATAGTATTATTGCAGGATACTGCGGGAAGTTTTGTTCCTCACATGTTGGGATATTGGCATGTCTTCCATCAACAAGCACTCTCTGATCTTGAGTGTGGGGTGTGAGTCCATGGTCCCACTTAATTTCCCCGGCGAGATAAAAAATGGTGTAAACACTGGGAGGGAGGCAGAACAGGAGTTTTGTCAGCAGAGAGATGATGAAAAGACTGCACCTAGACAGCCACAGCTTTTTATCATTTCGTGTGATTGAGGTTGTGGATGGTTTGATCTATCAAAGATAAGATTCCCTGGGACAGAGCTGTGGCTAGGTGGAAGGCGATGACAGGGCTCCTGACTCCCAGACGTTAATCAGGACATTCATTTGCTGTTTTGAGCAGGAAGCCTTAGATCAATGTTTTTTTATGGGAAGAAATAAGATTGGCATTAAATATAAAACTGACAGTAGTGAATTTTAATGAAATCTAGATTATGAAAAATTAATTAGTTACACCTAATAACTTTTTTAAAAGGTACATTTTATTACTTGTAATGCAGTTTTGATAGTGTACGGTATTCTTGCTCTCTGTTAATCTTTCCTTTGGAAATTGGAATGCTATCATATTTACAGGAAACAGGTGTGTAATTCAAATAATTTTGTCACAGTTTTGATTGCCAGTAATTAAATGGCTTTCTTTTCTGCAATAGTTAAGGATTTTGGACTGTTACAAGCACATCACTGGAAGCATTGTGAATTGGCAATTCAGGCTAACTCTGAGTTGAAAATAAAGCCGACTTGTTTCATTTGTGACTCGAGGGTGTTATGTTTCCCTAATATGTGTCGTGTCCATGAAAAGATTTTTATCATTTCAACTTGAACAACCTATTTTGCTTCTCTTTTTTTCATTACCAGTGATGTAGGTTTGATTTGTGTGGAAACAAATAATGACAAGTCAAGCAAATTTTTTACATAACTTCATGCACATTCAGAAAAAAAAGAATGACATTTATTTAAGCTCTCACTGATAGGATGATTTCCTAATTTATCACATAATAATAACACGGTATGTCTAGCCTGACAGACATGTATGTTGTTTCTCAGAAGAGTTGGACGAGGGCTATTTTTGACATTTCCTTTGAAAGAAGCTGCTACACTGGGAGAGATAGGCTACGCGGTCCTCATCCATGAGAGATGGTATGTGTCTCCAGATATTCATTCCATTCCAGCTCAGCTCTTAATGACCCCAATCAGCTCATTAATTGGCTTAATTGGACTAATTTAACCATCTCTTGCAGCTCTGCTGTTTTAAAACCAGGCACGGGAGCCCTCGGTGACCAGGGTTGGTCAACCTTGATACAGAAAAACAGTGGTTTGGATGAACATACAATCAAATTGCATACCGTCTGTGGCGTGTCAATGTCAAAGATAGACTATAAAAATGAATGAAAGAACAAAAGACAGTAGGAATGAAAAATATCTGAGAAAAACGTGTGGGTTTGCTATAAAAGCACTTACAGTAGGTTGTGTAATAATGGCTCAGGATTCTAATGTTTCTTTCAAAGATCACCAGACTCAATCAACTTTTCAAGCCTGTGTCAGGCATCAGTGATGGGCTCCAGAGATCAAAGCTGGGTTCTGGTATCCATACACCAACCTCGTATCTTCAAAGGTTGAACGCTTCAAAGGTTACATGCTAGCCCTAGGAGTTCTGACTTTTTGGTTCCCTTGCAGTCATGGCAGTGAGACTGGGGGAGTATAATATCAGGTAATACAGGTGCTCTGCTGGGTGTGCTGGAGCAAACAGTGTGCAATAGCAGCCAGTGTTGTTGAGCCAATTGGAAACCTCCATTCCTGTGGGAACTCTCACCCTGACAACACCACTTCAAAATTTTAAATCATGTTTAGGAGGAGATGACTGTGTGACTTTCCCAGTGAGCTGCCAACAGTGTTTGGAATGTGATGAGCAGCAAGATAGAGTTGGCTAAAGCAAAACCACTCTGCTTTTTTATAGCAATTGAGCTCTAGTGTCGAGACCAAAAAACGAGACAAGATTATCTGGGGCTTCAAGGTAAAGTCCATTAGACTGTTACACATTCAAATTTCTTCCAAGTTTTGTTGTGAAAGCCATTCATTAGAAGATGATGCACATCACATCCGACTCATCTTGTAATAAACCCATCACACAACAGCCATCAAAAATGCATTAAAAGCTGGCCATGTTAAAAAGCACCTGAAACAGATGGTATACAGTGCAGAGGACAGACAAATTATGGCATGGCTCATTGGTATGTTGGCTAGCAACCATCATTCTGTCCCTTGCAGAAAGGAAAGAAAATAGGGAACTCTGAAGGTTTGTGCTACAATTCAACATTCAAAAATATTATTTTTAAATAATTCAAAAAAATAATTTATACAGTATGTAATCTTGAATGGCTTTGAGATACAGTTCTTGTAAAAACATGTACAAATGTTGTGTACTGTAGGTCCTCTAGATATGACAATGTGTTTCAGTGGATTTATGCTGATGTGCTCTTACAAAGTTACATATTCTGATGTAAATGTACAATATAGTAAAGAAAATTGAAGGTATTTTAAGAGGGCTCAGTGATATGCTATTTTTAGCATGTCTGATATTCATAAGATAATAAAAACTGAAAATCACTTTCAAGTGAAGGTGCAGACTTGACTTTACACCCAGTCAGATGTCAACCTGGACAGTCTCACTAAGAAATTATGCAAATGTCTTTTTACAGTAAACTATTATTCAAAGTCCAAATTTAGTAGGAAAAATGTTTTATGATCAGAGGACGTACTAGCCCAAAAAGCACTTAACATTAAAACATCCAAGGCCCTAAACTTAACCCCTGAACTCTGACCTTAAGTTCGAGAATAATTTATGCACTAGGAGTCAGGTAAACAGTCAGGAGCTTAGTGGCTTCATTTCATTTGTTGCTAGAGTTTCTGAAGCCTTACATTCTCACTTTTCTCATAACTAATTTGAGCAATTGGATTTATATAGCGTATATTACGCAATACAGCTGAAGATGAGGGGCCTTAGCAGTCTGAAGGTGTCATTTACCTTGCACGACTTAGTTTATGTCCGTGTTATAGTAAGGGAGAACAGCCTGTGGTTTTCAGTCAAAAGGAAAAATTCTTCTTTAAAATCTGTTTGTGTTCTGTGCTGTGGAAATCTAATATTTAAAAATCAAGAATAAAATGTACCTTCATGTGCTAGAATGTGACAGCCAGGGAGGCTTTTTTGAAGACTTTCAAACTAAAAATTAAGAGTTCGGTACTGTACTTAAGACAAACTACCAGTATAAGTGAATCACTTAACTTGTTTTTTTATGTTACACTCAGACAAAGTGTTTTTGTTAATTACACTCTACTTTGACTTCATTAATTACAGCCGAAGACAATTAAAGCCAGATCAACACAATGCCTCTGTGTGGTCAGTATTGCTATCTGGATATTTTATATCTTTCAAAGCTCATGTATCACATGACACCTCTTCCCTTCCACAAATAAAGATTTGTTAGGGTGATCGAATCATAATACCATTCAACCAAGAATGGACTCTCCTGAAAATTGTAGGCAAAACAAAGGTGTCAGTGTCATTCCTTAACATCTTTTGTTTACTTTTTTGTTGTGGCTTCTGAATTGGATCTTTTCCCCCAAATCCAGAGAGGAGCACACATCAGGTAAAGTCAAGCAATTACATGGGGGACAAAACAAACTGACAGATCTGATTTTGCCTGCAGATGCTGAACTCATCCCCCCCGGCTGAGGCATCCTGAATGGCGTCTTATTAAAACTAAAGGATATCAGTCAGCACTTTGTACATGGGAATCAGCATCCGGGTGCGCTGGCAGAGGAGTGCAGACAAAGCCATTCTCATTAGAAGGAGGGAAAAAATGCTCCGAAGGAGCTGTGTCCCTGCCTTGATAACAGAGCAGGAGCTGCATCAACTGATCATCTTTCAAACCACCGGCGAGCGCTCATTTTTCACGACATGAACCCTCCATCAGCCCTGTCTCCTGGGCTTTCTGCAGGAACTTAAATAGGGGGGGTGGTTTTCAGACGGAGCGACACAGGATACATTTAACCATGGGAAACAGATACTATGCAAACCGCAGAACGACACAGGAGAAAGTGGTCATCTTTTGATGTCAACAGAATTTTCTTCTTTTTTTTTTCCTAAAGCGGAATACCAAGTGCACAGAGTTTCCGCCGAGCTCTTTGAGTTTTACCTTCTTTTGTTTGTTTGTTTTGTGGGGACTATCCTTTTAACTGGGCGACAAGTACCTTTTTCACTAGGCTGACTGCTTTATGTTTGGTCCCAGCATCCAGAGTTTGAGGGGCAGAGGGGCAAAGGATGGCTAGGTTACTGCTGAAGCTCCAGCGCTACTTCCGAAGGAAGCCGGTACGCTTCTTCTCCTTCATCATTCTGTACTTGACGGCGGGCAGCCTCGTGTTCCTGCACTCTGGCTTTGCCGGGGAGACTGCCGAGGCCAGTAAGGGGCCAGCGGCTGGAGAGACAGCAAACGGACCTGATGCACAGAACCTGGGCCTCATTGGTAGGGTCTTCAAGGAGACCCAGAGACCGCCAAGGCGGTATAGCCCACCCTGGTTGAAGCCAGCTTCCCTGGATGCTCCAGAAAGAGGGAGAGGAGGGGACTATGCCAACAGGTGGAACCGGGCACTCAAAGGAAGGAATACGAAGGATCTGGAGGAAAGCAGAGGTAAGTAGCGCCTTGACTTTTCCCACCATTCCCTGATATTTGTTATCAGGCAAACAATTGTTCCATGCAGAAAGTCCCTTTGGAGTAACTTTAAGTCTACCGGGAATTCTCCAGCCCATACAGCCCTTGCAAAAAAAAAAAAGAAATGGAACAAAAGGATCTAATGACATTTTTAAAAGATAAAGCCACACTGCACATCACTGAAACGTTAACTTCAGCTTTTTTATTGTATGAGCTAAAGGTGGCCATGAAGATAAGAATGAAAGCGTTGGCAGACAGAGCCTATGAGGAGAAAATCAGGAACGTTATTACGACGTTGCTGTCTGTGGTGCTACAGGAGGGTTTATCAGTTGTGGCCATTTTTCCCTTCAGCAGTGCCCACGAATTCAAGTGACCCACTGAGTGCTAATGAGGAGTACTTCACACAGGTGGAGTCCTTCATTTTGTCACTCGGTGCAGGTTATCCACCTTTCGGTAACAGCTGAGACGACGCCAGCGTTTTTCCAAACTAAAAAACAACAACAAGTGTATCCCCTGTTCAAACTGAACTGCAACGTGTAGGGATGAACTTAAAAACTGTGTGAGAGAATTAGGTTCACCCGAGTAGTTTAGTTTGCATTGCATTTTCTAACTCCTTCTTTCAATTTAGGGTTGCCAGGGAGTGGGGGTCGCGGGGGAGCCAGAGTCTCTCCCAGCAAACAATGGGGAAAGGGCAGGGTACCCCCTGGGTGGGATACCAGTCCTTTGCAGGGCACACAGACACAAACGTGCACCCATTCGCACTTAGGGCCATTTTCCCAGAGCACCCCGAGGAAACCAACGTGAACACGAGAACACAAAAACACACAGATAGCACCTCCGGCCTGGAAATGGACCCTGAAGCCAAATCTGCAAGGCAGCAATGCTTAACACTGTGCCACAGTGCAGCCCGTGTTGGATAATACAGGGATCCTAATACTGTACATTTTCTGTTCTGAGTGACTCTGCATTATTGTAAATCAAGGTAACTGTCAGGAGAAGTCACTGATAAGAGATTACAACATCTCTGCTGAACCTACATAAACCTATTGCCTGCATGTATTTTAAAAGCTTTTGGAGCTAACCGGAGAGTCAGTAAGCACACTCAATGACTGTTCTGTGAATTACAGGAATATTTAAATTTATAAGCAATAACTGGTTCTCATAGTGGTGAAACGGACATAATTCTTCATTGGATGCATTTTTAAAGCTCCTTTCTTATAGAGACAAATGCCTTTACTATATCCTTTACCTGCAATGCATGAACTACAAAGTCTCAATGTTTTTTTTACTGTCACTTCACTGGCTAGTAGTAGCAGCAATCCCAGATTTTGTTACTATCTCATTGGAAAGGCTGGAACTCAGAATTATTCCCAGATCCCAGGTAAACATCAGGCTGCTTCCAGAGCTATTTATCATCATTGAAGGCAGATGTTTTTGATGTGAATCAATATGCATTATAAGAATATAGTGAGCAGATTGCCACAGTTCACAGCTCTTTGAAACAGCTTGTTCTCTTCTTTCCTCATGGGACCATGCATGTGGTTGCAATTTGTTGTCATTAATAAAGTGGGTCAGTGACAAGAGGCACAGTACAGTCACATACTGATATAGTACATTGAATTTGTGACAGCAGCATAATGGATGGCATTGGTATTTAGGGAAATTGCTGCTGTATTATCATTTATCTAATGGCAGTAAGGTCTAGCATACTGTATTTGCTCGGCTACACTTTACCAAACCTTTGAATAACTTTGAATAAGAAAAGAGCACAGAGGTTCTCACACAACAGGTTTTGGCTTCAAACTGCAGTAATTGTCCTTTGCAGTTTGTCAGTTTTTTTTTAAATCGCATTAGTGTCATTTGCCTTTTTCTATTCAAATCTCATTGCTGCTGGACTAGTAGAAGCCCCCCAGCTTCCTGGGCATTACGCAAATTCACATTTTTTAAACATACCCCTCTAAACCTCAAATCGCTTATCCTAAAGAATGTTGTACTCTTGCTGAATTCTCTCCCTGCTGACAGATAAGATAAGCTTTCACACACTGGAAATGTGTGTCCTGCTTAAGGTTTGTGTGCTGTATGCTGTACCAAAACATCGATGAGTTCTAATAAAAAAAGAAAAAGTGTGCAAGCTTAATTGGCTGTCTTTACTGAGGTGTATTGGACAGCACCTCAACTATTGTTGAGTTCCTTTTTTCACTTTTGTTTGAAATACACTCCCTTGTATTCCTCAAACTTATTGCATTATCAAATGTGTACATCACAGTTGCTGTATGAGTCACTGCAATGGCTCTGCATTATATTGCTGTAACAGCACATTTGTACTGTGCATACTGTGCACAGTACTGTATGTAGTAAGTGGATGTGTTATATTGTACCAACTTGGTGTATATGTCACCGCATAGATCATATATCAAACATTTGGTTATAATTTTTTCAGTACTGTAAGGCTTATCACAAAGGTGCCACATTTTGTTGATAACAGCATTTATTACATTTAATGCTCAAGTAATCACAGAATACAAGTCAGTTACATAATGGTGAGGTTCCAATGGGTAAAACCAAGTTCGTCACAAGCAGGAGTGCTGCATCAAGCATCAAGCACTGGGTTTGTGAGATGTGATTGATTGTTGTGTCTAAATTTTGATGTAACCTGGTTTTAAACTATAACTCAGGATATATTTAAACTATAACTCATTCTACAGCATTGTGTTGCCTTTACTTTGCTTAAATTCTGATAATCCCCATGTTCATTTTTTTTTCCATTTAAGATATTGGGAGTGTTTTAATAACCTCTGTGAATACCTGGCTTGCAGTCCACTCATAATCACGTACAGGGCCTTCATATTCAGTGCTGTCTGACAAATTAAGGAAGGACCCATTAATAGAAAAAAAACTGAATTTGAAGATTCTATCACTCTCTGTTCATTAGGCTAATCAGAACCGACATTTTAAGAACTCCTAGCAGATGGTTTCGAAATGTGTAAATTTAGATTCACTGTAAAACCACACAGCACCTTTTTTCCGGTCTACATGTAATGTGTCCAGAGCAATTAACCTCTGACAAAACAGCTTCGTCCTCTAAGTGACAGAAATTAATGTTGTCATTGGGAGATTATCCAGGCATTATTGTTCCTGAAGAACCAGCTAGTCCCAAAACTCATTTTTTTAGTGTTAGAGCCCTTGGGAGTCTCAATTAAACTTCACATAGTCCACCCTGGCGCAATGGAACCAGAGAAAAACCTAAAGGTCTTTTCAAAGACTGAAAAGACAGATAGTGCTCTAGTACAAACCCTTGCTAGTACAATGATACCCTCAGGCGATGCTGTGGCAAGGATTACAGTACATTAACCTACAGCAGGTAAAGATGTTAGCTGGAATGTTTGTCTTCTGATTGGAGGGATACTCTAGATCAGAGAAAAGCAATGTGGCTACTTAAATTCATCTCCATTGCAAGCCTTTGTCCTAGCTCTACCTTAATTATTTTAGTAATCCTCAGAGGCATAGTCAATTATGTACTGTAATTAAGGACGTGTTAAGGTAGAGTACTTGATAGGTCAAAGTCCCACAGTGAAACTACAGATCCTACGTAGCCTGTCTCTGCACTGTACTGTTTGTGGTTCGTCCCCAGAATATAATTATGTTCCCTATATAAAATAAAATCTAACTGGGAAGTCAGGGACAAAAAATATATTTATGTCCAGCTCTGCCTCAGGGAAAATCAGATAAGTTTACTATATCTTTGAAACCAACCATTTATGACATATATTTCCAGTGAACATGTTGAAAGTCATGGGTGATTGTTTGAGGAGCATTTATTTCTATTATCTGGCAAAAATGCTTTAAAGATAACACTGATTCTTATGACCTTGGAAAAAATCATTTTAATCATTTAGGAATGATCCAACAGTTTAAAAATAAACTAGGAGAAGTCATTAAATATATTATTTACAGTCATTAGTACTGGTATGTCATGGTCAGTCATTTGTACTGGTACATAGGTCTGAAATCACTTCATTGCACTTATTGAGAAAACATCCATCCATTTTCTAACCACTTCATCTAATTCAGGGTCACAAGGGGCAAGTGACAGGCTCAAGGTGGGGTACTACCTGGACCGGACACCAGTCTATCACAGGGCACATACAGACAAACACAGACATGTACACACTCACGCCTGGGCCAGTTTTTCCAGAAGTCAACTAACCAACTAGTATGTTTTTGGCCTGTGGGAGGAGAACAGAGCATCCAGAGGAAACCCATGTGAACACGGGGAGAACGTATAAACTCCACCCACATAGTACCCCAGGTCAGGAATTGAACCCAGCATCCCAGCTCTGCAAGGCAGCAGTGCTAACCACTGCGCCATAAATGTGCCGCCCTTAAAATAATTCACACTCCATAATCCAGACCATCAACTCGTAACCTTCAACATTATTGCTACTCATCACTCATAATCCAAGAAGGCTAGTTTGTACATCTGCACTAGAGTCCAGATCCAGGTACAAATTTTAAAATCCTTGTTGTATTTGTATGAGTGTGTCTGATTTTTCCGTTTTTTTTTCCTTTTTTTTAAATGTCTTGAAATTTGACCTTTCAGACTGAGTCCATTTAGAGCATCGCTTTTTACCTGACAGTCTGATTCGTTTGAATCATTATAGGGTCAGCTACTGTAAGTTCACTTCAGTCCCCGTTCACTCAGACTGTTGTTTCCTGCAAGGAGTACTATTTGGCATGCAGATCGGTTTTCTTTACATTCTGCATTTAGGCACAGCTGCAAACACAGCTACTGTACACAGGTAGATTACAGGCAGATCAGCGGACGTTTATGAAGTGTTAATGCTAAAATGATAGGTCTAAAAATGTCAGATCTGTGGGGAATGTTTTGCAAATCGAGGGTGTAACTGGAGCATCGGAGAAACTGCAGCTGCTTCCCGAGTGCATTGCTGTGTAAACATGTTAACACAACCTGTATTTGATAAGATGGTAAATCACAAGGCTCATATCTGGTAGGAGCGTTTTGTATGTGATTGTGCGGTGTTCCAGAACTTTATCAGCGCATTAATTTTCAGATTTGCATTCACCTCCCCTGGCAGTGCTGCCAAGCGCTGATGCTCCATGAACTTCTTATGCTGGGGTTTCCTTCTTTCTATCTGCCTCTCCCCCGGTTGGTCTCTTGCCACTCTAGCAGATGAGGGGATGTGCAGAAATTTAGACTTCGGAACCCGCACTCTTTCCTTTGCTGGAAGTGTTGCTCTATTCATGTGTAGAATCATCTTCTCATCAAAAACAGGGGTATTCCATAGTTTTCGACGGAAGCTGGTGGGGGGCACCTTGGGACCTACAGCCTTTTTGCACCGTCATCTGCTCTTTGTCACAAGAGAGTGAGCATGTGCTTCCTGCCCACCGGGGGCTTTGCACTTGGACCATCAGCTTTCTGAGTCGCTATGTACTCGTTAATGTTTCTCTCACATTTTACACTCTGTCAACTGCATACCCATGAGATTATACCCAGGGGTTGTGGAGAATATGTGGCACGTACAGAAGTGATCATTTCTTTTATAGTGCTTGTGGTTCCTAGATCACTCCCCGTCTTGCAACAAGTGGGAGACGAAGATAAGCTTTTAAATGTGGGACTGTAGGCATTTGCGTCTTTGTTGAAACGTATTGCATTTATTAAGAAATTACAAGTAGAGGGGCATTCTAATTGTCTTGACCAGTCAAGATGCTTTTCTGAGTGAAAGTTGAGCTCTATGAACCTGACATCACAGGTTCGAGTCTGGATCATGCCACCACATCATATCAGCTGTAATGTTGCACTGCGAAGAATTCTGTTGGGTAGTCAGCCAGGGCTCTCTTGGCTCCAAGCAATACAGTGACCACTGTACAGTAGCTCCTTAGTCACCTGCAGGCTTGCATTGCTGTTGGTGAGGAATGTGCCTCTTTTGCGGTCAGCAGTGAACCTCCCGTATGGAGTTCTGTTGGCTGTGACATGTTGGAAAATACAGTGACTGAAAGCTGGCTGGATCAGAAAGTCTGTCCAGGCTTCCTCTTTCTCCCTCATGTGCAGTGAGGTTCATAGCTATAACCAGAAAGATAAAACAACAGAACCGGTGATTCAAAATCCAGATAGCAAATTCACAGCTGGCTAATCATATATAGTACATACTGTATAAAACCTGTTCACTCCTGCTTAATCTTTCTTGGTGCAGATTGATACAAAAGCATGCAATATCTAACCACACACATACTAATACAGTCAACACTACAAGGGACCTTTACCCTTTCTGAGAGAGTGACAGAGAAGGAGAGTGAATCAATTGTATGATGAAGCCAGGATATTTTTTAAGGGGGAGGGATTGGAAGTCTGCAGTATTGTAGCAGCTTTGAGGTTACTCAATGAAGAGTTTCGGTGACAGCCAAAAATCTGAAGAGCACAGTCTTGAGTCTTGTAATAATCTATTTAGAAGAGATTTTCTCTGACTTTGAACAATGAGTAGTAGATTGTGCTGAAACATTGCGCAGAGCGAAGCATCTGTAATGAACCCTCATCATATGTTTTGCCCTCTGTATTGGTGTATGCAAGACTGAGCAGGATTAAGACTCTGGAGGTTTATAGAAAGCAGCAGGCTTAGCTACTGCACTTGACTTTTCCAGACCTTCCAGACAGCTGCTGAGATCCTTGACTGCAATTCTTGGCACTCTTTTCGTTTCAAAACTTTGAATATCAGTGCCCCCTTGCTTTTATGATCCGGCTTGTTTGCAGTACGTTTGCCATCATTTTCATGTTTATTTTGATGTGCAGTATGCTGTTTTACTTAATGAGCATTTGTCATAGTTTCCATAGTTTCTATGGTTTTGTTCAGTTCATTCAGTGGAGCCGAGCCTGTTTTCTTTCTGTATTGACCAAAAAATGCAATGGAGTAAAAAAAACAAACTAATTTTGCTTGATATTGCAAATCATGAGAATTTAATATGAATGGAGTTGTGTTGTTCTTAAAGATAACAGGGGCTAGTTCGAGTGCAGCAGATTCTACTATGTAAAAAATAAAGCAATGCTGGCTTTGTCACCATTGCAAAACAAATGTGAGACAGAAAGATTAGGAGGCCTTAAGCCATCAAATGGTACTGTACATGGGATCTTCTGGCAAACAGGGATGGTCTGATTCTTTAGGACCACTAAACATTTAAAATATTACAGTCACTGTAAGAAATATGCAGAGCTAAGGATTATTTATCATGTGAGAAGTCTTGATCAAAACACTTTTGTTGACATTGCTAGCACATTACCTCCAGTACAGCCACGATGTACAGTAATATCACACTTCAGAAGTTATTTTATAATACTCCAAGTGTTCTTCGGGGATTCTGCTTAAAGGAAAAAGCTCTGGCAAGAGAGAATATGGGCTTTGATTATTTCTTTTGTCATTGCTGGCATTTGTTGGGGTGAGAGAAAGGAAGCGATCCAGGGTAATCTTGCAGTTTATCAGTCTGAGGTTCTGAAAGCAGCAGGGAGTTCTGGAAAACCTGAAGAATCCTTTGTGTTAGAGCTAAACCTTATTAAATCTGCACCCTACTTTCTGGCAAAGCAAGTTAGATGTCTCTGAATAAAAATCACCTCAGGCTTGTGTAGTGGTGAACACTTGCTACATAACTATAGTTTTAACCACATTTTGAAATAAAGGTCTCTACAAGATTTTAATGAAATCATTGAAGCACAATATGTAATGTATTGATTACATGAATGTCAGTCGCAAAGAAAGTTTAAGGTATAATATGGACCTGACAACATGGGTGGATTGATTAAAATGGATCAAATTTATCAACTAAGTGGCCAGCTTCGAGACTATTTGCCATTTACTTTATGAAACTAAAGAAAAAAAACTGCTGTTACAACACAAGACCACCAGAAGGTAGTATGAACTTGTTTACAGGCTTCTTTAGAATTAGCAAAAGACCTGAAAACCGTAAAATCACATCTGTTGAGCACTTTTGACATTTTTATTACATTGAATTGAACTTAAATGATAGGAGACATTTACTGTATGCTTGTTCTATTCTGTTCTGTTTTTTTTATTGTTTTATTTGTTTCATATGCTGTACTCTATACCATGTGTTCTACAATACTTTGAGTTGACTAGTTCTGCTGTAAAATGCGGCTTAACAGACCATGTCTTTTGCACTCTTAACTATTGTGTAGATCTGTTTAGACCCGCATACGGTGTGTACTGTACGGTAGATCTCATTTGAATATGTTAAAACAATGTTTAGTACATGTATTAATAAAATAAGAGAGAAGAATGTGTTACATTACATTTGTTAATAATACATTATCACATTAACTTTATTTTCCCGTTTGGGAAACACTAAAGTCTGGCAATTTTTAATTGTCTAAAGTAATTGTGCTGCTGCAAAATAGCGTTCCAGCTGTAACTGTAGAAAACTGTTTTCAAAGTAAAATTTCAAATTGATCAAATTTGTACTGTTAACCTAGACAATGATATTTTGTGTCTTAACAGTGCAATAATTTTTTTTTACCTTTCATATCAAATATGCTGGCACAGTCCATTCTGGTTGTGTTGTAATATGAATTCCCACCCCATGACATTGACCAGGGAATCAGTTGCCATCAGCTCAGTAACCGAAGCACTTGCCTCTATAGTTCTTGGTAATTGTCAGCTTGTGTTCAGAAAACCATCTTCAAAAAGAGATGATCAGCACGCACAGTGCTTTCGTTCAAGGTTGCTGACCCACCACTTAAGAAGACAATGAGCATTTGGCTGGCCAATCCTTCAAGTCTGCAGTGTTCAGCCACCAGGTCCAGACTTGTTCTGTGCTGGTGTGTGTCTGCACTGTAGATATGGCACTAAAGTTGTATCAGAAATAACAGCAGCACGCCGTGCACGTGTTATTCTAAATAGAAAAACCATCCTATTGTTTGTAAAACATGCTGGCTTTCAATATAACACTGCATAGATATTTTATAAATGATTACTTAGAATGCCACAACACATAAAGCCCTCTAGAGATGCTGTACGTTTAGGCATCTTCACTTCTTTCTCAATGTGTTTGGATGAGAACAATGATTTTGGAAGTAATCGAATGTTTTATTGCGTCTCTGCTGAATTACTGTATAAATACTCTTACTTTATCAGATACTATGATGCTGTGTCATTTTTTTTTGTTTAACTGAAATTTCTAAAATAAGGAATTTCATACCTGATGAACTGACATTTTTGTTTTATGTTGGGAATTTTGTATAAACCCATAATCAATAAACTGACAAGTAAGCCTATGAAAGTGTCCGTTGCAAATTGTGCAGTCTTATAATCTGTGAACCAGCTATGGCTGTGACTTCACTCAGCTCCAAGCAAGTATAGTGAAAGCACTCAGGCATTTTTACAATTGTACATCTTAAATTCTTGTTTTTGTGTTTCCACAGCAAAATATATTGGCTGTTATACTGATGATACACAAAAGAGAGCACTCAGGGGAGCTTCTTTTTTTGACTACAGGAAAATGACGGTTTTTCGTTGCCAGGACAACTGTGCTGAAAGGTAGGCCTCTGAAGACTTAATTTAAAGTGTTTACTATTTGCTGTTATTTTTTCACAATTACCTTAAAATACTGCTACTGCTTGAAGTTAGCTGGCTTGTTTGGGAAACGAGTGACTTCAGAAACTACCCTAAAGAGATTTAACATTTTCTGTCGCAAAAGCAGAAAAAGTGACACACGCAGCCATTTCTGTTTGTCAGGATCATGCCAGTAAAAATGAAAACGTCAGAAGTAAAAGTAACATTTCTCATTTTGAAATGTAAAGTGTTACCATCACTAGTTATCAGGCATGTTTTTCTTGGTTTTCACAGTAGTACAAAGGCACAGGTTCCTCAGTTGACTAGTTACATAATAATTCGAGGCTGCATTTAAAACCGTGATTTTAGTTTTCTGTAACAATGACAAAGGCATTTGTTAAGTGGCCTCCTGCAGTAATTCGGAGACTGTGACCGTACCTCATTATAGAACAGCACGTGGAACATGAATTGCCTGCTTTATGTTTGTGTAGCTAGTAAACCTATTCTCAGACATTGAACACATTTCTGATTTTCCTTCTCGCTCCATTGCTTATACTGCTGCGTCTACACAAGGATAACCATGAAAGACTACTAAAACTAAAAGAAAAGATCCACAACGTTCTTGTTATTTCTTCTTTCTCAGACTGCAGCATCCTGGAGCTTTCTCCAGCCAAATAAGCCATATATGTAAGCAAACCCCCTCTCCTACTTTCAGACTATCCATGTAGTATTTTTGTTCCTGTGCAGGATGTTTTATACTTTGTAGAGGCAAAATAATATCAGTGAAATCAATTGACAATGTACAATAGAGAATTTTGCTCTCTACATTTTTTAACACATATACCTTCATTTTTCCAAAGCATTTTCTAGGCGTGTCTCAGCTTTCTAAGCTTACACTCACGTCTGGATTGTGAAAAAAACAAAACAAATTCAACCATATTACGTGATTCTCGAGTTTTTAAATTTGAGATCATCAATTGTTTTCTTGTTATATGCTTCTTCATCCCCAAATTGGAACTGCCAATTGTCTTTTAGGGCATCTGCTGGCAATGTACCTCCTGTCAGTGTGATGAGGATGATGCATTTCTCTGACTCACCTCCACTTCACCATGTTCTGAGAACCACAGTGCCAGCAGGAGAGTTAGCATCCACTGAAGGAGTGATGCAGCTCTCATTGAAAGCACTGCAAACTGCAGGCACCCGGCGAGTCACAGGGCTCATTAGTGGGCAAAGTCCAGGATGACCTGGCCAGCTCAAGCCTCTCCATCTTACCAATTCTGCCCTACAGATCAGGGCTCCAGTTACAGTCACCTATTGACATACAGCAGTCAAGGCCTGAACTGCCAATTTCTGGAAAGCAGAGCTTCAAACTGTGCACACGAGCCATATGGGAGCCCTTAAACCTTTTTAAAGCCCGATTTTATTACAAAGTAGTAAAAGTATAATACCTTTGGGCACTCACTTGTTCCCTCTTCTGTAACACTTACATATTAGCTTTGTTGTATCCTCTCTGAAATGCAAAATTCAAAAGCAGCCCGTGGGTATGTCTGGGTGATTCTTTTTTAACATCAGGCAACACCATGGGGGGAGGTGGTGTCATGGTGCTAAGCACTGCTATCTCACATTTCTTGGATGCTGGATTTGATTCTGGATTGCGATGCCTTCTCCATGGATTTTGCATCCCTGAGTTTGTTCTGGTTTTCTGCAGGCGCTGTGAGTTTTCCTCAATCCTTCCAAAGAACTACAGGCTAGCGATTTCCCTAAATTGTCCTTGTCTCTTTGAATGTGTCCTTAAATGGACTCACTGTGGCATCGAGGCTATAGTCTTGCCTTGCTTCCTAAACGTCTGGGACAGGCTATGGGTGAAACTGACCAGGAAAAGGCTGCCTTGTGGTCCTGGATGGTTTACCACCAGAGGAAATTTTAGAAAGCTCCTATAAAATGAATCGCGAGGGTGGTAAAGTTTGTCATTTGTGGTAATGCCGACATCGGAATTATGATGTTCCAAGGCAGAGCGTTTTTTAAACAGATAGGCTGCTTTTTCCAAAACAAGTTCTGTTATCTGGGGGAATGGAAGTGAGGAGCAGTACAGGTGTCTCAGCATTTCAGCACACAGTTTGAGAGATGGTGCGCAACCTCTGTTGCTAGACTCTCAAGGATAAGACCGGGGCCGCAAAAAGAAACACGATGTACTTGTACAGTATGTGTGCAGAATATGAAATTACCGCAGGCATGTGGTAGCCGCCATCACCAGATTGTTTTTCATCCGCTGTTGTTGTCTCCCCTTCATGCCCCGTAACAGAGGCTACATGTACGCTGGGTTGGAGTTTGGGGCCGAGTGTTACTGTGGGCACAAGATCCAGGCGCCCAACGCCAGCGAAAGTGATTGTAACATGGAGTGTAAGGGCGAGAAGACCAACACCTGTGGAGGGGCGAACCGTCTCTCCATCTACAGGCTGGAGCTGAGCCAGGAGTCAGCCCGGCGGTGTGAGTACATTCGCACTTGTTGGCTAATGTTGACAAGATCAGCTTCTAAAGTAAAAAAAATAAATAATGTCGCTTTTTTGTACCTAAGTTTAGGTGCTATTTTTTTTTTTGTTAAAATACCTCCATATTTCTATGTAACAATTAAATCCTTAAAATTCTCGTTTTCGAAAAACCTTTTCTTAAGGTAAAATGAAATTTGAATTAATTTACATTTGAAACCTTCTGATTTGTTCCTAAGGTGTAGGAAATGACCAAGTCTGACATATTTTTACCCAAACAGAGCCCTATTGTAAATCATCAAAGCAAGAACACTGTTACTTGGTTATGATTAAGTACCCTGTTTACTCTAGTTTGGAAGTTAACAAGTTAAATTGACAAGAAAAATTTTAAGGACATGCACAGAGCAGCTGTGTTGTGGGAGGTCATCCTACAAGAACGGTGTATTCTCTTCTGCTATGACGGTCTCTCCTTTGTTATATGAAAATCTAACTGCTAAAAATAAGTACTGTATGAAAATGCAGGCCCTTTTGTTAGAAAGAAAATTAAAAAATATGGTGTCTAGAAATCAAAGATAGAAAAACATTTATTCTTATGGTTTTACTCCAATTTAGACACTTTAGGTTAGCTTAAATTATGCCCAAAATAATATAAACATCTTATCTACAGTATATACAATATGTTTCTATAACATACAGTGTCTCTCTGTATGCAGGACTATTATAAAGAGAAAAATCCTTAAAATGTTGTCAGCTGGCCTTAAAGTTTTGCTTCGCCAACGAAGTAATATCTGTGTTGAGGTGAACAATGCAACCTTTGTAAGGTGCGTTAACTTGTGAAGCAAATTAAATATAAATTATTGAGCTGCTGTTTACAATGGCTGGTTCAGATACAAAACCCTAATGGGAGTTCAACTGAAACCCAAGGCACCTAGCTAGCTGGAAAACTGAAAGTGAGAAAAAGAAAATGAAAATAAAAGCTAAGAAAGCAAGGTTAGTAATTCTCAATTTGCAACTTCGATTATAGATCTTCTTCCATATTAGAACTCAAGAAGGGACATTTTGCCCTTTTTGCCTGCGAGGGCCTTATCACAAAAGAATGCATTTTTAAAATGAAATTGCATGTCTAAACACAAATGTCTTTTCGGTGTAAAATGGAGCTTCTGTCTGTAAAGCTTCCAAACTGACAACACGCTGTGATGGAGGCTGAAGATGTTACACTCTTGCTCCTGAATCATGAGGTTACAGTTGCACATTGTGCCCACAAGGCTGAGCTCAGGCCCTCTCCATCTGTCTCAGCTGTTGGATACTACATTTGTGAGCAGAGCAGCCCACAGGATGCGTTATACCACATAATGACCCATTTATGCATGTTTGAAATGGGGTTTTATATTAGAAGTACACAGACGTGTACAGTATAAGCATCACTGTACCTAGCTGTGAGCTATGTTTTCTAAGTTGGATTGTCACTCCCAAAGTGAATATGGTGGGTGCAAGCAATATGCCCTTGTCTGAAAACCAGGTCAGCTGAGGGAGATGTCACACTTTTGTTTTTTGGGTTGTAGAAACACTAATTACAAACTTTTAAGTTGTGGTACAATTAATAGGTTTTTTGTTTCGTGGTTTTGCCATTTTGTTTTCTGCAACAAGTTATTTGAAATGTAACCCCCAGCACAGCATCAGTGCAGATGTATTTAGCAGAAAATCCAACCAAAAAAACCATTATTGAAACAAAGGCTCTGTTTTTGTTTTTGTATGTTTAAACCGAACAGGGAAATTAAGACTATTAATTTAGCACTGAAATAATGAGCTCATTTAGTTTCATGGATTGATATTCTGCTTTGGCTTGTTCTCATTTGGCTTCCAGAGGTCGTTTTTTTCTGTCTAAATGAAATTAGTGACAAAACAAACACAGTCTCTAGTCTTTGCAGAAAAGTGTGCCAATCAATATTTATGGTGCTTTTGACCCATATTTAGAGGGAAATTAATTGCTGGTGTGATTGACTGCTGTGAATCTCAGTCAGCACCAATGACTTTAACGGTTTCAGACATGCAGCTCTACTAATTGTGTTCCCCATTGTCCTTGGTGCCACAACTGTGCAGCCAGCCCATTAACAGCTAATGATGTCTGTGCTTAGGGTCCAATCCCTCATTGTCTCCTGTGAGATAAATTAGATACGATAAACTCCGGGGTCTAGGCTGTGCTCTGATTAAGGAATCTCTTTCTTCTGTCTCCTATCTCCTCCTGAGTTCTAGAGAAGTAGGAATTTTATTTTGTTCTCACAAAATGGTTGACATGCTAGCAATTTTGTTGAAGCCGATAGCCTGGTTTCTTTCAAGAAATGGCTGGATGAGATCCTTGGATCGATTAACTACTAACTAGCAAACAGGATAGATGGGCCAAATAGTCGTCTCTTGTTTGGAACCTTTCTTATGTTCTTATGATACGTGTCCAGAATTCGATCCTAATGAAAGTGTGCTTTGTCCATCTGTTTCTTCCCTAGCCGTAAAGTAGCAGGCCTTGAAATTTAGAGGATAAACTCTAGCTAAAAACATATTTTTACATGTGATGTGAATTACAGCGAGAAATATTGGTTTTCCTCATACTGTACGTCTTAATCTGTCTGCATATCCCAGGGTGTTTGTTACTGGTGACTGGAGAGTTGCAGTTAATTCCACCAGATTCTTGTAGGATCATTGTTAATTCCTTGTGACATTCCACTAGAGAGTGGCAAACTTGAGTCTTTCGATTCAGTCTTTTATGCCTACCAGGACTGTCATTACTTAATTGTTAAAGGATCGACTGGATTCACGTAGGAATTTGATGAATTAAGTGTTTCAAAGTAACAAGGAAGCACTTAGATTGCTGAACTTTGCCCAAGAACTATAATTACAAACCTGTCTTCCAGCACAATTAATAGTTTTTAGAAAGAGTTTTGAGTCATGAATTTACTGCCAAAATGTAATGATGTGCACATTAAAAACCTGCAATTAAACAGAATTAAGGACCTTTCACATGACTTTACAAATTACAAGGTGCACGCCTACACCAGACCCTTTGTATTATTATTTTTTCCCATATGGTATAGAGCTATGCAATATGAGCATCACATAGCAATGTTAGAGAGATATCACCTGGACTTTGCAGGACTTCCTAGTATCATCTGCATATTTCTACAAACTATTGTTTCCTGGATAAATCACAGCTGGCATCTGCTTTTGGTAGGCATTAACCACATGTCAAGCCTTTAAACACCTCTGAAACTGACCGGTAACTCTCAAAAAAACTTTAAACTTAAAAAGACTTTGGCAGTAGCGCACCAATTGAGAAGCAAGATTCACTTCCTTACCTTTCAGTTCAACATGTACTTATTTCAGCAGCAACTGATTTTGCGAAATGTGTTTTTTGAAATTCCAACGCATAGACCTTCTTCATGAATTTATAAAGCTGGCTAAATGCTTTTATAGGTGGCGTACCCAATATGCATGGTCTGGATCAAGCAAGCCGCTTATTATAAAAGGAATTAATATGCAGTTTTATCTTGTGGTAGCCGACACTTGATTTGTAATCATGTTCATTGGTTGGCATAATTAACTTCTGATATATTTAGAATAGATATTTGTAGTTCAAGCAATGTTAGCAGACACAGGTCACAACACACAAGCTGATGCTCAGCATGTAAATGACTAAAAATGTGACTGTTCCCAGACTCTAGAGCAGTACTCAAAACACCTCAAAGACTGCAAAGCAGAAGCACGTACATTTTATCTAGCAACTGGTGCGCTATGGTCAGGTATCGTCTCATTTAGTGTTACTGGTCATTTAAAAAACATTGTTCAAGGGTTGACTAGTGGCAGTTCTCTAAGTGCATGTCTGGTCAATGGTCATTACACCAGGAAGAGAAAAGGGATAGACATGTCTAGCCTTTGCTTTTGCCTGACATTTGTGACCTATGAAAGCTGGTTACATCCTAGGGGAAGAATAGCATTTGCCGACTCACTCAGCTTATAGGCACTGCTTTTCAGTCCTGGCTGTTATTTTTCAGAAAAGTACAAATGCACTTTTCTGACTGAATCAAATAAATGGTTTGTGCGTGTGTGTGAATGAGCTAGACATGCGATAGAATGAATAGACTTAAAAGCATATTCACTCAGGGGAAGGGAGCTATGGTGACCACTTTACAAAGTGAGAAACCCAGGGAGTCACAAGAAGAGCATGCTGGGACAAAGAATTTCATTGTCAAGAGAGCACGCTATCAATGTGAAGGGTTGTGGGGTGAGCGCTACCAAAGGAGGTTTAATTCCAAGTTCCGTCTGATATAAATAGACCATCTAATGGCTGTTTCTGTCACTTCCAAAGGCATCATCGCCAGCCCACTCATGATGACTAATTCCATCCATTTTTCAACCATGCCATCTGTACTTAGATTCTAATTACCATTAGGATGAGTGTGCAATTAGATGAGTATTCTCTTCATTCATATCTTCCTTTTGGAGGGCTGGCTCTTCCCTATTCCTAGCACATCTCCTGCATGAAAGTTCTAAGAGGCTGCCACAGAGTTTTGGCCCATGGCACAAAGATGCCTTTGAAATTCTTATTTATTAACAAAGCTTGGCTCTGTGTGTCTTGTAAATCCAATACGTCTGCTCTTCATTGCAATGAGCAATGAACACTGTGTTCAAGAATTCCACATTTTGTTTTCTGTGTTGTATGTTTGTTCTTCAGATGGGAGTGCAATCTTTAAGGGGTGTTTCAGGAAACCAGAAAACGTCTCCTTCGCCTTACCAGTCCATGCAGTCATACTGAACATGTCGGTGGATAAATGTGTGGATTTCTGTACCGAAAAGGTGAGAAATGCTTTCAGCCTGTTTTTCTTTTCAATTGATATTTAGAATCACCAGTTTTTCTCAGCTTTTAAAACCCAAACCAGAAACACTCTTTTTGCCCCATTCAGACCTTTGAGAACTGCAGAAACACACTCACTCTTGTTAAAGCTGACAGGTGGGTTGGTAGTAAAGTAGCGTGAATGTGCAGACATGGTGACAACAGTGGGCAAAATCTGCACTTCACGTAATCATCTATGCTCAGACTCATAAGTGCAGTATATGCTGTTTACAGTATGTTTTAGTCTAGTTGTTAAAATAGCAGCTTCTATGTCAATACTGCCCTTGGACTCTATTGATCTTTTTCTTAGACTATACATTTGAGATGCAGTGCACAGAAGCTTTTGAAATGCTGGATATCAGTTTAACAAATCAACCTTTGGGAGTTTAATTCTCATTGAATGGAAGATGTTTGTGCTGATTGTTTTTCAAGAAATATCATTAGCTGCAAATGTCCTTGGAAGTCTTCAGAGATCCACATTTCACTTCAGACCTCTGACCCTCTCAGAATCTGGTTTTGTGCTACATTTTGAAGGAGATACTCAATATATTTGCACCGTTGCTTTTCAAATGATGAATAACTTGTATTTTGCTATTTTCCCGTAATTAAGAAGAAATATATCTCAGTTAAACATGGGTTTCTAGAAAACTTGGTAAATAGTACAATCTAGTACATTGTGTCATGCCCTTACTGCAGTATTGCCTTTTTGTTCTCTTTCCCTGTATCTTTCTATTGCAAAAGGCCTCTCTCTTATCTGGACATCCAGACCTCAGAACCTGTACTCCTGTTGGTTTTCTAGGTATATTTCAATTATGAGCTGCTTAATATGAGCAAAAACTGATTAATTTAACTGTGTAATTTAAATAATTAATCCAGTGGAGTAATTAAGATCTGAGGTGAAATAAAAGCTTGAATCCACCTCAACCTCCAAGAAATTGGAGCCGTCATCCTCAATTAACATGTGTGAGCGTTTGTGGAATGGCTAGTAATTACTGTGGGCAAACTCAGGGTGAAGCAGGATGAAGAGCATCAAAGCTTCGGAAGCACTTGTGCGGGAGATGATCTGTAAGTGGGTTGCAGGTTGGAGGAGCTCTCGTCGAGGGCCGGCCCTTGAGGAGACAGCTCCCTGCGTGCTGAAGCACCTCTCTCGTCCTCAGGAGTACTCGCTGGCGGTGCTGGCGGGCCAGAGCTGCCGCTGCGGCTTCCCCACGCCTCTCTTCTCCCTCCACGAGCGCGAGGACGAGGAGCTCTGCCTGCAGCGCTGCGCGGGGGAGGAGTTCGAGGGCTGCGGCACCGCGGACTATTTCGTGGTGTATCAGACGCAGGCCCAAGGTAAGACTTGCCCGCGGCGTCCGAGAGCTCGCTCGCGCTCCACAAGATGTAGGACTGTTATACCCAGTGCTTCACACCCCCTCCTGATGTCCAACTTGGCCGTCATCACCATTCTCCATTCTCCACAACAGTGTATTTCCCTCAATTTCCCTCACGGGATCAATAAAGTATCTATGTATCTATTATCGAAGCATACATTTGGTCCTGCTTCCTCTGCCCCTTCAGACACACCTTCATCAGTCTTCTCTGACTGCTTCCAGCCAAGCACTGTAACACGTCTAATTTTTCTATTCAAGTCACTTTTTAGTGCAAGTGTATTTTCACATAACAAAGCCAAAATCACGGTGGCTTCTGATGTCCACCTTCCATCCGGATGTTGACATGCCCTGGAGAGGTTTGAACGTTTGTCGTGCTTCCTCCAAAACTTATTTTTGTTTTATACAAGACCAATCCTACACATGCCTCTTCACTCTAACCTCAAACACTTAATTTAGACGCTTAGGACCTTGTTGGCAAAAAGCGTATAAGCCAAAGATAAGGGGGGCAAAATGATATTCTGTATTCCATGTTGAATATGCTAAACACATTCTAATATATTCGAACAATAAAGATCGAGCTAATGTGGGAGACGACACACACACAGGAATCATAAAAAAACTTTTGAGCTGCAGTATGAGGTCCACCTGAATTTCATGCACTTTTGCAGAGATGAAAAGGAGAAGTTATGCACTGCGAATCTTCATACAAATAGCTGCTGTGCAGCATGAGTGGCTTCTTTAACACTGAGGCACTCCTTGCAGATCTTATGAAATGAAACGGGAAGAGGAAATAACGGTGAAACCCAGAATATTAGTTTAAATTAATATTTTAGACTATTTTACAAAAAAAAATGCTTTTACACATTCTATCTTCTGTGCTAGAGCACACACTCTTTGCCATGTCTCAGAGGTATTTACACATGTGTCATTATGATTAGATGCTCAATACCGTCAGGTGCACCTATTGATTGGAGCCTTTTTCTTATTTGACTTATGCGTCTAAACAAACAGAGTCTTCCATAGGCGGTGTCATGGCTTGGGCATGCATGGCCACCTCCAAAACTGGCTCACTCATCTTTATTGATGTACAGTAACTAATGATTGTAGCAGCAGAATGACTTCAGATGTGTGCAGGAACGTCTTGCCTGTCTATGTACTAGAAAATGCCTCTAGATGCAAGGCTTCATCATGCAGCAAAACAATGGCCTAAAACACACTGCCAACACAACCAAGGAGTTCATGAGGGGAATAAAGAAGAAAGTCTTAAACTGACTTAAATCTAATCGAACTAGATTTCACTGGCTGAAAGGGAGACTAAAGTCAGCCCCCCCCCCCCAAACTAACAGGAACTGAAAATGGCTGTAGCAAAGACTTGGTAAAGCATCGCAAAAGACCAAAACAAGAGTTTGGTGAGGTCCATGAGTTGCAAGCTTGATACTACTTCAATTTACTTTAAGTTAATTTGTCCCACTACTCATGGTCACCTAAAATGGGGGAATGTAACACAAAAAGCAGTATTATTTTAAATGTTAAAATATATCTGTGACAATTTTGACTTTATTGTCCCAATGCTTATGGAGGACACTGTAAGTCTATTAGGTATGATCTGCTTCCTGCCATTAAGAATGAATACAGAAAACAGCCAGATGTTTTTCTGTGTAAATTTGTTAAGCAATAATTGCTTGTTTTCTCAGGATGTAATGCTTTCAATGGAGTAAGAAATTGTTTTTTTCCGGAACATACTGTAACCGCTGATGTTGCTGTATTTTACTGCACTTCAATGGTTAAAAGGGTTTTGCATCAAAATGCAGTTTGTTTCAATTTTAACAGCAGGCAAAACATTTTTAAAATGTGTATTTTTACTTTACTCTTATTGCTGGAGGTTGTGGGTTCAGGTTCAGGTCCAGGTTGTGCAATTCATCCAAATCATCATTCAAAGCATTATTTGTGGTATACTGTGAGGGTTGTGTTGCAGTGAGGAAGAGGAATCTTGATCTAGCACACACCATCATGGTGGTGCTGGCTGTGTACCTACAGCACTGAATGCTATCAGGAAGAGCAATGTGTCTTTTCTGTGTTTTCCATTAAAGCAATGAAGCCATGTTCTAGGATCAGAGTATAAAAGTGGAAAGCTTGGTGCATTATGGGGATGACCAACACTTTTTTCTAGAGAGTCACAATTTAGTAGATTTTATAATCATCTCTAAGTCTGTAATTTATTGTCATGGAATGATTTCACTTTGCAAGAAAATCACCAGCACTCTGCAGCTGCCCAAGAGCTGGCCAAATCTGATTTTATTAAATTACCCAAACCAGTACAATAATTTATTGAACCCAAGTCTTTTTGTACATTGACAATTAGAAGTGAGCTATAAACCTTGATGTATTGTGGCTGTCCAGGATGGAGGATAAGAAGAGGAATCTAATTTCCTAAAGGATGTTAGTTTGCTCTCTTTGTACACAGTATAATGCTGCAGTAGTGGTGCTTTAATAAATGGATATTCCAATTCTAAAATGAATCTAAAAATGAATAAATATAATTCTCCTGGAAAACTCATTTCTAAAGGTTTAAACCTACTGTACTTACCAGGTGTTTTTTTATGTTCTGGTATGCTGCTGCTTTCTCCGTTTTGGTCAAAGGCCTGTCTTGAATGGTACCCTCTGTTTCTAACTGGGATGAAGGAAGCCAATCATTAAAGTGTCAACATTGCTCTGCAGTCTCTTTGTATTTACATAAGCAATCAAAAGCTCTTGTAACTAGGAAGCAGTGGGTCCTTCAGACAGCCTGTAAAAAGCAATCTTTACTAGAGCCTCTAAGTGAATTGACTCAGTCCTTTCACTTCCTAAAATGCAATTCAGAAGCAGATCACAAGGGGCCACCACATGTTCAAGTTGCCATTAATCAGACTTACTCATTAACTTCCCTATGTTTTTCTCCCTTTTTAGCATTACATGGAGTGCTTACAGAGCCAGATTTGAATCTGTCCTTGCTAGGGTGGATTAACCTGTGCAAGTGTTGCGGCCTGTCGCTAGACCTACCTTTCTAAAAGATTTATAGCTGTTTTCTGCTCTGTTAATGGCTGGATTTACTACAGTAAGGTTCTTTAAATTCTTCTTTTAAACATGAAACTGTACAAAAAGCTTCGGTTCAATCAAGTAAATATCCTCTCCCACACAATAAAGTGGCATTTTGATATTGTATTTTTGGGGGAATGGGGTGGCTTCTGTGTAGAGTACATGTGGGGTACTGAATACACATTGCACGTTCCCAGTAAGAATTGTTTAAAAAGCTATATGATCACTTTAAATTCATTGTGATTTGAAAATAAAAGCAATATTAAGCATCAAGAGAAGCTTATCACTCCATCGCTGCATGTATGTTTTTAGAAAGGCAGCACAGTGATTGGTACTGCTGCCTTGAGTGCTGAGGCCCTGGACTATCTGCTGTCTGCATGGGGTTTGTATGTTCTCCTCAAGTTTGTATGGGTTTCCTCCCACAGTCCAAAGACATACTGATTGAGTGAGTGTGTGTCCTGCGATGGACTGGTGTCCCGTTCGGGGTGTATTATCAAACAAACTGATAATTGTTTGGTAAAATTTTGATTAATTGGTCATTCATGCCGGAGTCACACTCTAGTGATTCTGACTGTGGAATAAGGACTAAACTACTTCATTAGAGAGAGATTGTTGGGCTTAGGACATTCTTCAGGAAATGAACACAGAAAGGAACCAATATGCCTTTATGCTTCTGTACAGTATGTTGGAGCAATACCTTTGTTGAACTCTCCCACAGAGTAAAAAAAAAACAAGGTTTTGTACTGTATATACCACCTTGATGGATGTCAGTGAGTCTGGTGCAAAAATGTAGAACCTCTGCAACAAATGTACACCACACCAACAGATACAAAGACTCAGGTGTGATGTTTTTTTCCAGGAGTGTCTAGTCACTGCAGAACTCCACTTGTAATGATTGATGGCAGACTGACTGCACATTGCTACACTTATTAAGTCCTGGGAACTCACTCGTGGCCCATTCTGTGGGTTCATATTGAAATGACAACATTCCAGCAGGACAACAAATATCCATAAGCCACTTGTGTAGCAACGGCTCTCTTTCGAGATAACAGTGTGACAGTTAAGTCGTGGATGCCCTACGAGCTAGACCTAAGCCCCATTGAACATTTCTTGCATTCGTTGGGATGACGTGTGGCTCCAAGGGTTCAGAGAACAATGAACAAGCACATGTTTGGGATCTATGAGAGGAATGGGACACAATCCCTCATGACAGTATTTGCAACCTGGTATAACTTGTATTGTTTCCAATGGTGGCCACACACGCTGCTAGTTTATGATTTTCACAATATATTCTCTACTGATCACCCTGTTGATGATCAATGTTAATCATCTCATCTTCCTGCTAATAACTTTGTGAAATTGTTGTGGAACATGAAATTTGATGCTCTGTATGTGATTGCACCAGATATACTAATAATAGAACAGTGAAGAAGACAGGTGGAAATCATTGTATAAATTCTCAATAAGAAACATTCAGTATAGAACGGTGACCTGAGCAAAAAAATCTTAAGATGTCATTTGTATCCAATCAGTGTTGAGGGACAACTTCACATTTTTGGTCATATTTCTATTCCTACAGTTTCTTGGAATAAATTCCAAAAACCTACCAATGCTTATGTTTTCTTAACACGATAAATCGGCAAACCTCACTTCTTACCTGATATTAACAAAAACAGCTGTTTAACACACACATCTCTCTGCTTTTTTTCATTCTCTGGGTTTTCAAGATGCAACTACAGTCGTTTTATTAAAAAAATGAAAGCGCTTGTCGTACTTGTCGTTTTGTTGATGACTACAGAGATGTCAGTGTAAGTGACAGGTTATCGCTCATTATTATTTAAATTCGGAGAGCCCCCGGGGAGATTGGAAATCAGCCTCTTTAATTGAGGGGTTGAAAACCGAAGACTAGGGGTCTTTGCTCATGAATAAAAATGAGCTTGCAGACACTGGGTCCTGCTTGATTTACTTTCTCTAACATTCCCCTCTCCTGTCTAGATAACCGGTGCATGGACAGACGCTTCCTGCCCACCCGATCCAAGCAGCTCATTGCTCTGGCTAGTTTCCCTGGGGCAGGCAACACCTGGGCCAGACACCTGATAGAGCTGGCCACTGGTTTCTACACTGGGAGCTACTACTTTGATGGGTCCCTCTACAACAAAGGTGAGAAGGTCTTTCTCACACAGCTCAGAGACGAGCTAAATCCCAGATCAGATCTACACAGCTTCCTCACTCACCACTAGGGACGGTTCTGGCAGAAGAGTTTAACTGACCCTGACCCTAACCTTTTGTTAACAACAGGACCTATGAGCGTCACAGCCTCGCAGAGATTCATTGATGACTTCGGGTGGAGTGGACTAAGCTGTTAAAGGCTGTAAACATTTTGAGACGTCTTTTTCAATATGTATGGTTGATTCTTGTTTACATTCTATTAACCCTCCTAAACTTTACGTCAGAGAGGTATTGTTGTGATTCACAGGTTATTAAGTGCCACACATTAAGGCTTCTATTAACTGAGTCACAAAAATATGCAAATTGTTCGTGTATAACGTAGCTGCTGTTTACGTGGCGTGTTCAGCACTGCATCAGAAAAGGTGGTAAAAAGTTAATGAACTAGAGTCTCAATGTTATGTTCCAGTGAAATGACAGGCTAGAAACACAGCTTATGAATGTGGGAAAGAATAATGTAGGGTATGGAGAACATTCTGAGGTCATTGTGGTTTTTTGCCACTGAGCTAAGATTATTTAGAAACAAGTAAACTTCAGTACTGCTGTTATATTTGGTATGATCACACAGCAAAATGTTACTATCAGCTTGAAGTGGTTTATTTATAGGTAGGTACATTCAATTTTATTTTTTTGCTCTAAATGTCCTTTCTCCATTTTCAAAGAGACCTGTGAAAATGTGGGTTTCTGGTTTCTTGTCAGGAATGTACAATGTAATGCAAAATGGGCATCTCTCTTGATTGGTACAGTACAATTGTACCTCATGTCTTGCAGATAAAGAAAGAGTGATGTAAGCTAAAGTAAAATGCAATGTGAAACTCTTGTATGCTGAAACTTCCACATTCTATGTACAGTAAACCGTACAGTATAGAACTAGTTGCAAGATGTGAGAATTCATTTTTTAGTCACTACAGTTTAAAAAACTCAACATATCAACATATTTTTGCTAGCTATACAGTATCAATCAGGATAAGCATCTGTTCATAATTAAGTCTTTAAGATTACACATAAACAGATGAATCCATGATTTCAACCTGAGTTAGAGTGCATTTCATATTATTTCTGTGGGATGCATTACCTCATATTCATTTGCATTACAAATTCACACTTATTGTATTTCCAAATACACACATTTTTCTGTGATTGTTATCCAAAGTGAGCCTCGGTGGTAAATTTAATGAAGACTGTTTTCTGGCCTGCTGTTTGAAGTCAGATGATAATAATGGATGGTAGCAAAACTCTTTTAATTCTTTAATCAATGCGGCTTAAAACTAAATAACTTCCATCCAGAGTAAATATGTAAATAATGTATAGTCAGAGCTGTAAAGATGTAGTGAAGGAACACCAGGTGTCCACAACCATCAGCCTTTACAATCCTGGCAAATTAAAGAATTAAAGTGTACTGCCCATTTGCTCTTACACTTGTCAGCTCCTTCCAATGCATTGTTCCTTTTTGAAAACTAGGTTTTAAGGGGGAACGAGATCACTGGAGGAGTGGAAGGACGATCTGCATTAAAACCCATGAGAGCGGCCAGAAGGAAATCGAGGCCTTTGACTCCAGCATCCTGATGATACGCAACCCTTACAAAGCGCTGATGGCGGAGTTCAACCGGAAATATGGCGGCCATATTGGATTTGCCTCCCAGGCCCACTGGAAAGGGAAAGGTACGAGCAAGTCAAGGTCTCTCTTTTCCAGCTCTCTCGGAGTTGGGAGCAAACATTGGGCAAACCTCAGAGGTTGCACACCTTGCAGTTCTTTCTTTTAAGAATGAATCTCAGCTAGACAGTACCGCTCCAATTGCTTCAGACAGATGTGACAGTATAGATCAGACTTTACTGATCCTGAAGGGAAATTGAGGTGTTACAGCAGCCCAGCCCAAGACAAGCAAAGACAGACATTAGAATAGATGAAAAAATTTAAAAAAGTACAGCAATACAAAATAAATATATAGAGTTAGGTGTGTGCAAAATATGCTCATAGTCACTGTAAAACAATAAAATATGTGCAAAACGCACATAGATATATACAGATGGGAGTGCCTGCTTTGTGAAATGGCAGTCTGGTACAGATGTGGGATTGCTGTGAGAGCAAGGCTGTAGAAACCCCTGCCCTCCCTACACATAGCTGTTGATGCTTCTGACAGGGAGCTGTGAAGCTTCCTAATCCTGGTGATCCCAAAGTTATCTGGTTTTCAGTCCAACTACTGGATATAACAGAACCCTTAATTGAATGAATGGGAGCTACAGTACATGCGCTATGAACTTTAATCAACAGTGAGACACCAACACAAATAGAAACGGAGGCGAAGTACCTTTAAACAGAGAACAGGAGGTGTTACATAATGCAAAGAATTATGGGAGTTTGGAACAAGCTACTACACTACCAATGTTGTTGAAGCCAGTGTGGTCACTGTTCTTATTTTCAAAATAGTGTTTGGGGACATCTTCAATTTGCTACCAAAACCCAAACGAGTTAGATGAGATTAGGGGTCTCCGGCCCTACTCCTGGAAAACCCCAAAGCCCCAGTCTGTTTAGTCTTATACTGTAAGTCACCTGTTTTTAAAGATTGGTGACTCCTGTGTATTATTGATGAATCAAGCAATAATCTGTTCAGAGAGCAGAAGAGAAGTCTGGTTCTTGAGGGCTGAAGGGTACTTAGATTTTAGTCCAATGTGATCTCCAAGTTACTTAATTGAACAAATCACCTCTTTATATGACTGTAATAGAATTGTTAAAGATTTGTAGAAATTGAAGATTTAATGACCAATAAAACCTGCAGGATTGGGCCTTTTCAGGACCAAGGTTGGAGACCCCTGAGCTAGATGGACCCCCTCCCATCAGGGAAATTTCTGTACTGTAATTAGATCAAATTGAGACTTTTTTTATTCTTTTCCTCTCCACTAGAGAAAATTAAGCTCTCAAGGTATGATTTTTGTAGGCTGACAGTTCGAGGACTGAAAACAACTAATTTTGTCCACTTGGTAAGTTAATTAAATCAGGGCTTTAACTCAATAGTGATACATTTCAACTAGAACAAAAATGAGCAGACACTGGGGTCACAGGAACCTGGATTAGGAAGGATGTGAAAGGGTGATTGCTGGTTTTTGCCCATTATCCGTTTATAACTTGTGAAACTCACTAGGGGTTGGCTTGCCATATAGTAAACCAATCTTTTACTTCGATAAGCTCTGGAAATGGACAAAAAATAGCTTTCAGTGCAGAAAAATAGAAACCAAAACAAAAAGCCTAGCTCTTTTATGAGCAGCTACCTTGACTCTTTCAGAAAACCCCTCCCTGCCAATATTGCCATGCAGCTGGCTGCTTACTCTTCTCAAAATACTAGTTTCTCTCAAAAATGTCTTTGTCCCTCACTCAGTCACTTCCTACTCCCAGTTCTCTGCTGATTTGGTTTTTTGGCACTGCCCTTTGACTCTGCCCTTTGTCCTCCAAACTTTAGTTACCCAACAGGATAAACAAAACAAAAAAAACATTGACTTGCTGCATTTTAAACTGTCACCTGACCAATTGTCTTTCAGTAACTGGTCAGATGACCGTGGAGCTTTCAGGGGAATGGACCGCAGACAAGGGCTGCCATCTGGTCTGAGTCTGCTGTGCTATCATATTAGTGATGTGATTACACATACTTGGTGTAATTATTTAATTAGCTGCATAATTGTCTAACCAGGCTCTGGGGTGATTGATAGGGTACTGCATCTTTAATAAAGTGAATGTGTTATGTATTAAACAGTTAAGGATTAAAAATTTAATTAGGTTAATTGTTTAATTGACTACTGAGGTTGGAACAAAAAAGAGAAGACACTTTTTTGTGTCTTCACAAAAAAGCCACAGCATCCTTACTTCTTACTTGGTCTACACGTTTACAGTGAAAGGGTTCTTATTGATACATGGATGTAAATTCAATAGCACGTTTATTCAATACCGCACATGTACTTTATATATATATAAAACTGAAATTTAATTTGATCATTCTGACTAGACCTTTTCCAGTAAAAGCAGATTAAAGCTAATATAATTAAATATTAAATATTAAAGCTTATATATAAGGACGCTTGTTATTATATCATATTATCAAGTGACAAGTTTGTCACTTTGAAAGTAGAATAATTACAGTAAGTTGCCCACAGCTTCCGTTATGTTTTTCTTCGGTTTGTTTCATGCTCAACCATACCTGGCTGCGCTTGGTATGCCACTGAGCTTTTATAATGGCTATTTATTTATTTACTTGCTTGTTTTGTTTTTACAAACGTGGGGATATTCGGTCAAGTCATGTTTTCAAAGCCAGTGTAGAGGAATCCTTCACAACTGGGTTTTGCCTCTTGTATCATGTACTGAGAGGCAATGAAACACAACAAATGAGATTCAGAACCACCTTGAAATGCAATTTTTGTTGCATTTCTAATGCCTCTCAGGATATGTGTACATCACATTGTAATTACTGTGCTGTCAGATTTAACCTCACCAGTTACATAATATTGTACTAGAACCTGATGGTCACATAAGCTATTTTTTGGTTGGATATTTTTCATGCTAGAGCTGCTTTTACCAGCATACTGTGCCCTATCTTGGCTTTTCTCGGCAAGAGGTAATGTTGAAGCTTGTGGTTGAAAGTACCAATCAGCTATAAAACACGTGGGTTTGGTCTAACTGTGTAAAAACACATCACACTATCATCAAAGGAAGTTGAGGTTTTTTAATACACAGTTTACTAAGCATACATGATTTTGGAAGATAGAGACTGCAAGAGTTCACATAAAACTTGTCATTTGCTTTAAAATATCATGAGTCAGATAGCTTATACAGTATGCTGCACCAAAAAGCCAGAAAACACTTAGCTGATTTCTTAACACATTATTCAGTTTTTGTATTTCACACATACTGTACAGTATTTGCAAGTAAAAGGATGAGAAAGGACAGCATTCAAGAAGGACAGTGTCTCAGACTCCTTGAACCCAACATGCAGAGAACATGGATATAGATCTAAATATTGTTAGTGCTGCAGTATTTAAGAAGACAAGTTGAACAACAAAATATTCAAGAAAACGCTTTGTATGGGACACTTTGATTGCCCAGTGATGAAATAATCAAGTTTCAGATACTATACTGTTAATCGGAACTTTTGTGTTGAATGGTGTTCTCACTGAGCCTGGTATCAGGTTTAGCTACGGTAAAAGGCAGGAATACCTAATAAATTATGGTTTCATTTCTAAAAAATACATGTACATTAAATACAAAATGCAAGAGCTTTGATTAGTGTCATCAATTTCTTCCAAACTTTTGATTTTAGGGCAAATTAGACAAAAGTCCCCTTCAGGACAATGTACTGTATAGGGCCATACAGTACTGTATATGTCAGGAAAAAAATGTTCAGATAACATTGACATACAGTATAGTTTGAAGTGGACTGCTGCAACAAATCGTTGCAAACTGCCTCTGCTGTCATAGAAACAACACCAGTGCATTTCTGAGGAGTTAAAATGTCAATCACAACATCAGTAATTGGGCTTGTTTAATGCTGTCCATATGTAATTACACAGCAGGACATATACTGTAGGTTATAGTCACACACCTCTGACTTATCCTAACCATCTTACGCAGCTACAACAAATAGTACACAGTAATGTGATATCATCTTTGAAGTGCAGGTGCCTCTCGATTTTACGTTAATGTTAATAATGTCGTCAGTGTGATCTGTGCAAGATACTGACTTTCTGATCTCTGCTTGTGTCTCCTGTGTGTGCAAATCAACGCCGAGGGAGTGGCCTAGGAGTTACAGTATAAGGCTGAAAATTCGTGTTTGCGAGTGCCAGTTTGTGATTTGTCAAACAATCAGCAGAATGTCTGTGATCTATCCCTTTGGAAGGTGTTCAAGAGTATTATGATAAAAACAAAAAAATCCATCAAGCGGGTAGATGCCCTTGGAATGCACAACACGTTGGTGCACCAGATGTTTTTCAGCTATCGGTATTGTGACTCAGAAACAGGATCCAAGAGCCGATTCTGTCAAATCACCCACACACTAAACCCAGTGACAACTGGGAATACTTCGCTTTTTCATGTCAATTTTATAGGACACTATAATGCACTGTGCTGTGCACAGCTTTTGTCTTGTTTTGCAAAGCTGTGCAACACCTCCAGGGAAAAGGACCTACATGAGCATTGCTCCGGGATGTGATTGTGCCTGCCATACTGTATGTGGCCACTTTTTTAAATCTGATGAATTGGAAAGTAGAAATCTGATTGATACAGAAACTAATGTAAAGCCCGCACACTCACAGGACTGTAGCTGATGCAGTCATCGCAGAGTCGCAGAGTCGCAGAGTCGCAGAGTCATCTAAGAACTTCTGCAGGTGGCACAACTTCGAGTTGAACTTAAAATCCAAAGTATAGAGGGTGAAGAAGAACGGAGTAGAACCGTCCCCTGAGGAGCATCTGTATCACTCACCACCTGCTCAGACAAATAGTTCTGCAGTCTCACAAACTGTGGCCTGCCTGTCAGATCATGGAGGCACCCACTTGCGTCTCTTCCAGTTTCCTTCCTAGCAATAAGGGCTGGATAGTGTTAAAAGTGTTAAAAGCACCGGAGACATCAAAAAACATAATCCTCACAGTGCTGCCACCCCTATATACAGTGGCCCTGTATGGCACATGTATACATTAAATTAACATTGAGTAAACAAAATTAATAATGCATGGAATAAAACAAACTTCATTAGGTGACAAACCTTTTACTGTGGGCTCCAACATCTGAACACATGCTATTTTACATGCCAACAAAAGCAGGAGAGTTATCCATTGCAGTTTATTAGGAACTAGAAGAGAAGTTAAGTATTTGTGAAACAGTCCGCATGTTAAAAAGATATCGGTCTCTAGTTCATCAGCGTGTGGTGTTCACCCCAGTGACGAATTGTTGGGGTGAGGACTTTTCATCAGGGGTGGTCACCAGAATCAAGTGTTGCAGGGCGGAATGTTGTGGTTTCCATCAAGGATGATTGTTCCATGGAGGATTTATCATTGAGAAGAAGTAATGTGGTAGTTTAACAGTCTCCACTTGTTACCACTGTGAGCGCCATGGCCACCTTCTATCTGTGACTCACAACCCAAAACTTGATGTTTCATAGCTACGCAAGTTTGAAAATGTCTTTTTTTCTTGCAACTGGATTTTTCTGGGCCTTTGCTGCTCCAGGACTGGATTCCCAGCCTTCAGTGTCACCCTGAGCTTCACTGGTTCCTAAGGGGATATGAAATCTTTCTAATTCAAAACCTACCCATCTAAAATCGCTTGCAGCAGAGAGACTGATCTTAACTATTACCTTACTGGAAACACTAACCAAGAAATTAACCTTAACTGGAAGACTCCAAATGTGAGCCTCCTTCAACCAATTTGAAGTACAGTATCTACCACATGCAAATACGTGCATTAACCAGTGGGAACATACCAGCAGCAATTTCTCTTTCAGTTTAATTTTTTCTCTTTAACTGTGATCTTTCTAACCTTAACAGAATCATACACATACACGTTACAGGGCATACCTGTATATCAATAGTCCCGTACCTCAAAAAATTGAAATGATTATTTATCTTCAGCAGCTTAGAAAGTGCAAAATCAAAGGGATAAAAATGCCTAGAGACCCTCTAACTATCCCAGTCCCCTGCAATAAATTTTGTGTTAATTCATGCTTAAGGAATCTCTTAAAAAATACTTTGTTCCACGTCATTAATTTAATCTCTGTTGGGCCGTTTCAAAGTTAAGCTTTATGTGCTGTGATTACATTAGGTGATTTGTGTAGTATCTGTTTAATGAAATAAATTCAGTGCTTGATGATTCTTCAGGGATTTGACTAGTTTTACGCATGACCCAGTGATCGGGCCACCACACAGAGACCTGATGAGGAAGTCAGGTACAGTAGGATTGATATTAGTGAGACTGCAGCAGACTGCAGGTCTCGTGTTCTCTTCTATTTTTTTAACTGTATTTATGATTTATTTTCTCCTTCAAATTGGCAATAACATATGCCTTTTTTTTACTAAAGGGTCTGATGTGTATGAGTGTCATCAAACTGTTTTCTGCTTGTGATCACCTACTGTAGTTACAGCCAGAGCTGCTAGAGATGAACAAATAAATGGAGAACAAAGGTTGGGAGGGAGGAGGAGTGAGAGGCGGGAGCAGGGGACAGAAAGAGAGGTGAAGTCAGAATGGGTGCAGAGAGGTGTGAAATGAAACTTCCAATGAATGGAGAAAATTTAAAAAAACAGTAGTCTGTCGTTAATAGAAGGGAGAATGTGTGATCCTAGATGCAGAATAATTTTAGTTTTGGTTGTCTTTCTGATGTATGAGTTCGGAAAACCGTCTTTGAGAATGCAGACGGAGAGATTAGAGTGGTCGTGGCCATCAGAGGTGAAATGAGAAACAATGGGCTTGGAGAGATCTTTAATCTTCACAGCCCTGATGTGTTCTCTGAAGCAGTCTCAGAGTCTCCTTCCTGTTTCTCCAATATAGATGGCTGGGCATTTACTGCAAGAGATACAGTAAATAAGGTTGCTGGAGGTACAAGATGCTGTCTGGGTGATCCGGAATTGTCCTGATGGGCCTTGAATGAGTGTGGTGGTGGATGTGTACTTGCAGGTGATACAGCGAGCTCTGTTGCAAGGGAAAGTGCCTGGTGTGGATGGTTGTTGAGGGCGGTCAAGGGAGCTGTGAACAAGGAGGTTACGCAGGTTTAAGCCAAATATCCACTCCATAATAGTCCACTCCATAATTACGCTTCGATCTTGGGCGTTGGCATTCCTAGTGAACTTTAAGAAGGGGGCTGTGGGAGTTCAGAACATGCTACCTAGAACTGTTTTGGGAATGTAGTCTTTTTAATAGTATTCAAACAAAGGATCTGTGAAATTCAACCTGGATACACTGTTCCCTCAGTGATGCCAAATGGGGCCTGACTGGTTACATTTGTCAGGCTGCAGCACACCAAAAGGAAAACAAATAAATTCAATATTTACTGTACTGTATGGCACAGGTGAAAAAGAATATGACATACAAGAACTGCCTAAATTAAATACAATATTACACATTATATGAGCCACTTACAAGTGAAATATTTCTCAAAGATATGATACATGAAAGGATTAACAGGAAAGATCAGAATATGAAATATACAGGTATCTTTATTTTATTCTTTAGTGGTGTTCATCTTTAGATTTTTTGCCCAAGCAAGGTATCTACTGACACTGCACTGACATCTACAGCTCTCCTCTGCCCCTGCCCCTGACCCGATCATGGACTCCAGCAGTCTCAGAGAAAGCACTCCCCTACTCTGAAAGATCATCCTCTGCCGGGGCAGAGTTTTACACAGTCTAGATTTCACGTGATGGTGGGATCACTGTTATGTTGGCACCCAGGGTTAGTGTTCATGCGACACTGTCGTGCTAATGTGGGGATACTGCGTCGTGGCACACAGGGGGACTGACAGATCACTGCTTTCCCGATATAACAATCACTACTATAACTCTCTCAGCTGCATGTACAATCAACTATACCTATAGTATACAGAGGGTATCTAAAATATCACGTGCAGTGCATTGTTCAACTCAGTATATATTTTTCGTTTGTTTTTCCCTAGAGTGGCCAGAATTTGTGAAAAATTACGCCCCATGGTGGGCTTCCCATACTTTAGATTGGTTGAAGTATGGGAAAAACGTGCACGTGGTCCACTTTGAAGACCTCAAGAAGGCCCTCTTCAACCAGCTGAAGGGGATGGTGACTTTCCTGGGACTGGAGGTGTCTGAGGACCGGCTGCTATGTGTGGAAGGACAGAAAGATGGCAACTTCAAGCGCTCGGGGCTACGCAAGCTGGAGTACGACCCCTACACCCCAGAGATGAAGAACCTGATCAACGGTTTCATCAAGACTGTCGATGCGGCCCTGAAGGAGAGGCGGCTGCCCAGAGTGCCGGAGGACTACCGCCCGAGATGATACAGCACCGTCTTTCGCTCTCCACCCGACTTCTTCACGAAGAAAGCTTAATAGGTGGACACACTTCAAAATACTGATACGCTAATAATGAACTGTTGTTACAAGTTTGCAATACCAGTAACATGCAGCTAACACCATGGTCTATGAAGGGGAAATGATGGTTAAGAACAGGAAGCACTTTTTCTCATGTTAGGTCCTTGAGGCTCACTTATAGCACAGGACAAGCTGCTGGCATGCTTTAGGCCTTGCGACCATATTCTGCCTATATTTCCCTTTCAAACTACTTCTCAGTGCCCTAGCAACTGACGTTGTAATCTGTCAAGAGCAGACACCCAGCCTGCTCCACGTAACAATTTAGAATTAATAAGCAATGCAGAGGACGAATAAAAAATAAACAACATTTTGAATTATTGAATACATTTAAAAATGAAGATCATAAATACAATGGCCACTTGGGCTCAAGATAGAGACGTGCTGTAGGTAGAAATCAGTGGGACTCAGTTAAGGATGAAACCACTATTTCTCTGTACTAGCTATTCCATCATTTTTTAATATTGTCATGTGATGGTGTTTCTCAAAATAGTCATGTTGTTGCCCAGTGTAACAGTGTTACACTATGACGTATAATTCCAGCACACTGACTCCTATAATTGAGGATACAAAAACATATAGTAGAAAAAATATGAGAAGAGTTGGCTTTTGACAAGTCTAGCACCTGGATTTAATGATCCAAGAATCCCAATCAAACAATTTATTTTAATCCCTTACTGTAGCATTGATATATTGATATCGATTATAGCATTGATTAAAGCCTCCTACTGTATATCCCACTGTGCAGCAGTGTCAGTAAAGAACTCCATACCAATCAGTTAAGTGATCTCACAACATTGCACAAAGGATGTAACGTCAACATTTAATTCCTCCTCAGAGTGTCAGGTTGTGTTAAGATCATGCCTTAAGTATTAGAAATCTGTAACTACTCTAATGTTATTAAAGTATCAGTATTTGGAAGTATGTCCACATGACAATTTATGGCTGATTTAATTCCAGCTGAAGTTTTTTTTCCACTCAGTGGGTGGAAAATAGAAAAAAAAAGTTATTTGAATATATATATATGTTTCTGTGCTGCTATTACCCATACATAGAACATATTTGCTCTTTTCTAAATATATATTTAAAATATTCTGAATACAAACTAAAGTATGTACACAGACCATTTACTGTACGCTTTCCGATTGCAAAATTCAACATACTGTACATGTCTTATGAAATAGATCAGGCAATGATACACTGTTAAATTGGTCAAATTCATGGTAAAAATGGTACTTTCCCAAATATACTTATTTTCCACAATATGTATGTTTTCAGTATGGGTAGCTCACTTTCAATTGGATCCATTACCAGTCTGTGACTAAGGTACAGACTGTGAGTAAGAGAAAGGTATGAAGCAAGACTTTCTGGACGGCTGAGTGGGTGACTAAGTCATACTGACACATTTCTGCTCTGCTTCCTTCTCTTTCAAAGAACAGTAAGATTAGCAAACATAGTTCGCTAAGAAAAAATATTTTTTCCACTATTGCTTTTACTTCTATAACAGTGATTACATCACAATACATCCCACTCTCTCATCACCATTTTTATACCAATGTATCCACCTTACCAATGGTGGTGGAGGGGAGTCCCCATTACCT